TGATGGTATGGAATGACAAGGCATTCAGCAGTACAGTTTAATGGCTCATTGACACTTCTTTTGAGAGCCTCGTATAGAGGTTTGACTATGAGTCCAAAGTTAGGAATCCAAATACGATAAAACTCAGCCTTTCCTAAGAATCTTTTCAGTTGCTTTCTGGTAGTGGGTACATTCACCCCAGCTATTGCTTCCCTTCGATCTGGCAACAGATTTCTCTGTCCTTTTGACAACTCAACTCCTAGATACTTTACAGTTGGTTGAGAAATTTGTGCCTTTTCTTTGGAGACTTTATATCCCCGGTCTGCCAAAAAGTTTAAAGTGAGGACTGTATTTTGGTCTGAAGCTTCCTTAGTTTTACTAGCAATTAGTATATTCCCCACATACTGGAGTAAGATTCCTTCATTTAATTGGAGATCCTTTAAGTCCTTCAAAAAGGCCTCCACAAAGATGGTGGTGGCATTTTTAAATCCTTGTGGAAGTACCATCCAGCAATACTGCTGCTTTATGTTTGTCTCTGGATCATTCCACTCAAATGCAAACAGTTTCTGGGACTCAGGACTGAGGGGTATACAATAAAAGGCATCTTTTAAGTTCAGAACTGTAAACCAGCAAAAGTCTCCAGATAAATCTGTAAGCAAAGTATAAGGATTTGGCATCACTAATTGTATATCCTCTACAATTTGGTTGATAGCTCTCAAATTCTGCACAAAAAGATACTCTCCAGTCTCAAGTTTTTGTACTGGCTGGATAGGAGTGTTATATGGGGATTGACACGGTCGAATTAATTGGTATTTAAGAAAGGTGTTTATCAGAGGCTTTATATCTTCCTTTGCATCCCTTTTCAAAGGAGGCTGCCTTAACTTTGGAAAATGGGCACTTGGACGAAGTTTTACTACTACTGGGTCAGCTGTCTTGGCTCTTCCTGGTGTCCCATCAGCCCAAACATCTGTTCTTATCTTTTGTAAAATTTCTTCAGGGACATCTGATGGAGTCTTGTCTCCCAATTGTAATGGTGCAGCTTGGAGGGTGAATTCTTGACCTGGGAGTACTCTGGTGTCTACTTTTTCTGCTAAGAAACCCACTTGGTTATTTAAATTTGTTAGTACCTCTTGCCCTGATGAGGGACTATGACATTCAGGCTCACACATAAAGCTGTACTTTATAGATGTTTTCTCTATGTGACATTCGAGCCGCTGTAGAAAAGGTTTCTGAGCAACCTTCCCAGATACACCAGTGATGGACGTTGTCTTGGGGGAGAGGGGGCCCCATCTGTTTTTGGGACACTCCCGTTTCCAATGGCCCTCCTGTTTACAAAAGGCACATTGTTGTGGCCCAACAAATGGATGACCTTTTTGGTTGGGTTTTGGAGGCCCCTGGAGTCTTACCAGTGGCCGTTTGTTCTTTCTTGCAGATGTCCTGCTGGGTCTTGACTGGTTACAGCTAAGCAGAGCGGCCTTCCTCAAGATGCATTGCTCCTGCTTTTCTCAAAGTTTGAGTCTGCCTCTGAACACTTCAAGAGCAATCTCAAGCAACTGAGACGTTGGCAACCATGGTCCCTCTTCCAGTTGCTGTAGTTTTCTTCTTATATCTGGGGCACTCTGACTGATAAAGCTTAAATTGACCAGTCCCATGTTATTTGGGTGTTCTGGATCAATATCAGTATATTTTCGGAAAGCCTCATGAAGCCTTTCAAGAAAGGTGTATGGGTCCTCCTCCTGCCCTTGCCTTACATTCGGGACCCTCTTGAAGTTGTTTGCCCCCTTTTGCAGTCCAATCATTAAACAATCTTTATAATGATCCATCCTTGCTTGATCTCCTGGATCACTAGGATCCCATCCTGGTTCAGTTCCAGGAAGAGCCTGCTCTGCTGAAGTTCTGATTGGACTCTTTGGGTGTATCTCACGTGGCCTTTCAGTCCTGTCGGGCCTTCTCTAATACCATGCTGCGTTCCTCTGGACTGAGGAGGCTATTCATGAGGACCTGTATGGCAGCCCAGTTAGGATGAGAAACTGCAAAAATGCCTGTAAAGAGACGCTCCATCTTCCTGGGATCATCCTGATAAGATGGCATTTTAGCTTTATAATTAAATAAATCTATTACTGATAAACCGTGATGCATCACTCCACATGCTCTGGACTGGCCTTGGTCATCTAAGCCAGCTGGGACCTGCCTTAACAGAAATGGCTTTGCATGAGGCAGAGTGTTCCCTGGGCCAAACTGGGTACCCTGAAGGGGACAGAGAAGGGATTCCATGCCTTCGTGACCATCTGCTAAGGGTGAGTACAAAGCCGGACCAGCAGCCCGAGGAAGACTGGGAGACGCCTTGGCACTGCCTGCAGGAAGGCCCGCTACATAAGTCGAGGCGCTGAGGGAGGGGCTACGGAAGGAGGCGCTGAGGGAGGGGCTGCGGAGGGAGGCGCTGCCGAGGGAGGGGCTGAGGGAGGGGCTACGGAGGGAGGGGCTACGGAGAGAGGCGCTGAGGGAGGGGCTACGGAAGGAGGCGCTGAGGGAGGGGCTACGGAAGGAGGCGCTGAGGGAGGGGCTGCCGAGGGAGGCGCTGAGGGAGGGGCTACGGAAGGAGGCGCTGCCGAGGGAGGGGCTGAGGGAGGCGCTGAGGGAGGGGCTGCGGAGGGAGGTGCTGAGGGAGGGGCTACGGAAGGAGGCGCTGAGGGAGGGGCTGCCGAGGGAGGCGCTGAGAGAGGGGCTACGGAGGGAGGCGCTGAGGGAGGGGCTGCGGAAGGAGGCGCTGCCGAGGGAAGGGCTGAGGGAGGGGCTGCGGAGGGAGGTGCTGAGGGAGGGGCTGCGGAGGGAGGCGCTGAGGGAGGGGCTGCGGAAGGAGGCGCTGCCGAGGGAAGGGCTGAGGGAGGGGCTGCGGAGGGAGGTGCTGAGGGAGGGGCTGCCGAGGGAGGCGCTGAGGGAGGGGCTGCGGAGGGAGGCGCTGCCGAGGGAAGGGCTGAGGGAGGGGCTGAGGGAGGGGCAGACCGTAGGGCTACTGCAACAGGTGGCGATGAAGGGACTAGACCATCCTTTGACTTTGACTCAGGTAAAAGAAACTTTTTCTGAGTCTTCCCTCTGACCCATCGTGATCGTGTTCTCATTAATTTCCTTATACCAATTTCTCCTCTTACATAAAGTCATAAATGATTGTAAATACTGGATTTCTTCCCATTTTTTCTGTCTCTTACAAAACGAGTCTAATTGCAAAATAGTATTATAGTTCAAAGACCCATTCTGGGGCCATTTTTCCCCTGACCAGCTGATATTTGGGCCAGACAGTGTTACACAAGTAAAGCATTTTCTTCTTTTTCATCGGCTTAGAGCTAACCCTTGACCAATCTTGAAGAACACTTTTCAAGGGAGTGTTGTCAGGTACGCTGTTACCATTCCCCATTTTAGAAGGTTTTTTTTCCTGCAGGATGACCACAGCAAAACGGCAGAATACAGATTCAATAAAGGTTTTCTGTGACCCTCCAACCTAACCGTGCTAGCCAATTCCTAACAAATGAAACAATCAGTCACTGACAAAGAAAGGCAAGGGCCTGGGACTCTAATCCGAAGTTTTTAGCACCTCAGCGGCTGTAAGCGTTTTCATTTTTTTTGGCCGGCTCCTGGGATCTTAGTTCCAAGACCGGCAACTGAATCTCCGTTCTCCGCAGGCGCTGTAACCTTTTATACAGTCTCCCTTAGAGTGGGACGCTAACCCATAATCCTGATGCTGTTAATAGACAATTTGGGCACAAGCGCGTTTTTACGAGGTTACTCACCCAAAAGATCCAGGAGCTGTTTCTTTCCCCAAAAGTGAAAGGAGCGCGGAGGAGCCTGGTGCGCCTCTGCGGCTGGAAGCAGCAACCCGACAGCCGAACCTCTAGACAAATCGCGTCTAGGTGTCCATTCAGGGTCGGTAGCGAGGACCTACACCCAGCCCGGAGCTACAGGGCCTCAGCCAGACGACCACACGGCTTTAGTCCGTTTGCGATCGCCAAAAATTCTGGTGGAGGAAGGGCTCACTGCCTGGGGCGCATAGAAGCAAATACAATGGCACCAGCTTTCGAGAAAAGAAAGAGCTTTGTTGCGAGGTCGACCAGCCAGGAAACAGGAAACTGGGCTGAAACCTGTCTCTCCGCGCCGCGGTTTGGGGCCAAATTGCAGGAGTTAGGGAAAATTCAAACTTGGCGCAAGCTGATTGGCTAGTTTTCAAAGCAGTCCATATATGGTTAACAAGGTACTACGGCAGACCGAAGTCGCATTTTTCTTACTGAAGGGCTTCTTGCTTCACCTGGTTAAGGGGTCCGATGGCAACCACTTCTATTGTTTGGGTTCCCTAGACTGAAGATTCTTGGTTCGGTGGTCATCCTGGAAACACGGGTTCCCGTCTTGCACATGCGCAGTACTGTCTCTATAAACACTCAAGGTTTGACTGCGTGAAGTCGCTCAGTCGTGTCCGACTCTTTGCGATCCCATGGACTGTAGCCTACCAGGCTCCTCCGTCCACGGGATTTTCCAAGCAAGAATATTGGAGTGGCTTGCCATTTCCTTCTCCGAGGTTTGATTAATAAATAGCCTATTTAAAGAGTCAAAACCAGTTTAAACTGGTCAGTGTTTTACTTCCTGCTTCATTCTTTGAGGTTTAAAAATGGTTTCAGAGTTTTGAAAAAACATAATCTGCAGGTTATGAAAACTATAACTTTAAAAAAATAAATTGTTTGCCCTTAGAAAATATGGTTTCAAAGAACACACTTCCCGTACTCAAGACGATGACTTCACAGGGACTCCCCATCAGTACACGTTGCCCTTAAGAAAAATGGCAACCTTCTGATTTCTCTGCCCTCTTTCAAGATGACTTCCCCGAGGATCGTGGGTCTTGGACCGGAGCCTCTTCCGGCCTGGGCAGGGGGCGGGGTTCATTGAGCAAAGCTCTGCGTGCAGGCGCCCGCGACAGAAACGCGCTTCAGGGCGCAGGCGCACGGAGGGGTGGGGGAGGAGGGAAAGCGGCGAGTAAGATGGAAGATGAGGAGGTCGCTGAAAGCTGGGAGGAGGCGGCAGACAGCGGGGTAAGGAGGAGCCGCCGCCCCGGGGCTGGGCCGGGCGGGACCTGGCGTGAGGGAAGCCTCCGGGAAGCGGGTCTGGGGATGGTTCTCCCCGAGGAAGGGCCCCACACGCCGGGCCAGGGATGAAGGAGAGGCCCCTGGCCCCCGAGCGCCGCGAAGGCCTCTTAAAGGGGCCGCGTTCCATTTCTCCCTTCACCTCGGCGCCTCCTTCCCCCGCTACCCCCGGGCCGACGTGCGGACTGCCGGGCGCCCGCCGGCCCGCCCCGGGCTCCTACGGGTCTTCATCTCCCCGTCGGACCCCCCCACCCCGCTCCCAGAGCACCATTTTAAAGTTCATGTGCTCTGGCGGGGAGCGACGCACCGTGTGGGGAGGGGTGCGCGCTCCGGGGCGGCAGGCGGGGCCCCGGAGAAGAGCGGGAGGAAACGGAGTCATTTCTGGACCCTCGACTCTGCCAAAGTGCCCGCTACTTTGTGCCGTCCGCCACGGTGGGCGAGTCAGGGCTTTTTTCCTCTTTCAGTTTTACTCTGAGCGCCCGGGGCAGGCCGGTGTTCCGGGGACCCCGCCAGAACCGCCAAAAGCCTCGGCGGCAGCCCCTCTCCCGCGGGCGCGAGCCGCGGGAGGACCTCGAAGAGTGACCGCCGGGAGCGGGGGCGCGGTGGGTGAGGCAGCCGCTGTCCCGGCGGGGAGGGGGAATGGACCGTTCGGCTCTTTGCTTCGGGGGCTTTTGTTTGCCTCCACAAGCTGTGCGAAGATAGTTTATCCCTAGCTGGAGGAGCCAGTTCGACTTGGTTCGTGTTTAATTTAGCATTTTCAGAGTGTGTGATTCCGTGGTGACCCTGGTGAAGGTGTGGAGGTGTTTTTGGGCTCTCGTATTCGTGTTCGTGTCTGTTCTTCCCCCTGGAGCTCTGTTTATCGGGAATAGGGCGTGGAGAGCCGAGTGTGGCTCAGTCGTGTCCGACTCTTGCGACCCCAGGCTCCTCTGTCCATGGGTTAGGGTTAGTGGGTTGCCATTTCCTTCTCCAGGGGATCTTCCCGACCCAGGGATCGAGCCCGGGTCTTTGCGATCCCATGGACTGTAGCCTACCAGGCTCCTCCTGTGTTGCAGGCAGATTCTTTACGGAGCTAGGCGGGAAGCCAGGTAGAACGACAGGAGCTGGCTTCCCCCTCCCCCGAGCGCCTTTGAGGGTGCTTGTCGGCGCTTGAGCAGGCTGAGAGACGGGCCCTCGCCCTTAGCGTTCCCTTAATGTTGGACCTTTGGCCTTCAAGTTTTTCCCCGTGGTGGTTCAGCATCTCTCAGGGTGTTTGTTTCTCACCTAGCATAATTGAGGGTTTGAAGAATTAACTCGTTCAGAAGGTATTGAGTTCAATTCTTAGACCATCTTTCTTGAATTTTGACTTGAATAAGGAGAGCAATGGAAAGATTTTTATGGGGAGCAGCAGGTGTCAGCCAGCCGGGTATTTATTCATTCGGCAAGCAGTTTGGAGTGCCTGCTCTGTGCTAGACAGCGTGCTCAGCAGCGAGTTTGTGCCAGAGAATTCACAATCTCCGGTAGAGGCGTTTACTGCCTACGAATGTGAGTGAATCATTCAGAACCCCTCCTGTCGCTCCCTGTGAAAGAGCTTGGCCTACAATTTGAATGTGACTCAAATGAAAAGTTTCTTGAGAATCTTGTCCTTTCTTTGTTTTTCCTCACCTGTTTCAAAGGTACAGGAGTTTCTCATGTTAAAGAAGAAAATGAACAAAAAAATGAATGTAGGGTTCAGAAATTGAGGATTGCTTTAGTTTTTGAGAACCAGTAGAGGGCTTAGGGATAAACTAGCCCACTCTCAATTTTATAGCTGGACACCAGAGATGTCAGATCCAGCTTGGATCTTTCTGGTGCTCATCCAGTATTTTTTGTACTAAACCCTTAATAAGTGCCAGGTACAGAAATGGAGCCCAACCTTGTCACACTGACATCATAAGCAGTACTGCCAAAAATGCAAGTTCCTTTATATAGCTTTTATTTAATTGAAACACCCTGTAGAGGTATTATCCTCTACAGGATAATAAGTAAGAAACCTGAGATTTAGGGAAACCTGTCTGGTTCAAGGTCACACAGATAGTAATCCGGAAGCTGGGATTTGACCTGTCTGACTCCGAATCTGGATTCTTTCTCTCGCATTCTGCTGCCTCCCACCTGGAGATCTATGGACAGTTTGGGAGTTGGGCGCTGACTTTTATTTTTAATATGTTTGCTTTGGGCTTATCCTTGAAGGTTCCCTTGAATCTGATTCCCTTTGTGAATTATGAAATTCTTTATGAAAAGAGTCTTGTAAATGTGCACTTTTGAAGGAGAGGATGAGTTGTGATGTCTGTATCATAGGGAAACTGACTATACAGTGTTTCTCAGATGTAGCCAGCTGAGTATGTAAAAGTCTTAGCTTCAGGTTACCCTGTCTCTCAACTGCGATACGGTAATTAGAGTTAAATTACACACACACACATCTCCCCTTGCCAAAATAAAAAACTGGGATGGCGAGGCCAGCAAATGGGGGTTGACTCATTCTAAACATGAGCATTTAAGCTTTATGTAATCTAGAGTTCTAATCCTTGAAAGTAGAGGCTTTTGGTGATTCCTGTTCTCCAACACCACAAAGAATTTTGCCATCATGCTAGAATTTCTTTCTTATTTGTCAGTACATCTGAGGTCATTGTTTCCGGTTTATTTTCAGAACACTCAGTATCAAGTTCTGTTGTGTCCTTTGGGGGAAGACTGACTGTGAGAAACATCTCAAATATTCTGTAAATAGATTGCTTTTTGCTTATAGTTAGTATAGTGAACACTTCCCTGATATAAAATTGTCCCTTTACCTATTCTCCCAAGGAGATACAGCCTCAAAAAAAAGACAGTTTAACAAATGTGACTTATATTCCATCAGCGAAGTGATTCTTTAAAAATATACTGCCTTTGGGAGAAATGAAACTGTACAATTGAGTTAATGTTGATTCAGACTCTTAAGTTGTGGCCTTATCTTAAGCACATTTTGAGGACAAATAGTGCATTTTGTAATCGTCATATTTCCCCCCAAATCAGGTTAACAGTTTGCTTGATAGGAAAAGAGCTGATGTTCCCAGACTGCAGCAAAGTAAGGTGTTTGCAACAGAATTAGGACTTGATTGCAAGGCACCAAGCAGGGAAGTGGGAGACAAGTCTCAGGTCCACACCACATGGTTTTTAGACAGGAGGGTTGTTTGTCTTGTTTTGGCAGTGCCTCGTGGCTTGTGGGGTCTTAGTTCCCCAAGCAGGGATTCAACCCCAGCCCTCCATGGTCAGAGCGCAGAGTCCCAGCCCCTGGACTGCCAGGGAATTCCCTAGTCAGGAGTTTCTAAAGGGGAAAGAGAGGGGAAGCTGGTGGTTACTCATTCTGTTGTGATACTTCCTAATCATCATTCCAGGAGCCAGGCTGTCTATGCCTCCTACCCAGTGGTCTGTGACCTGGTGGTCCGGATGTGGAACCTGCAGAGGTCATCTCATTCTGAAAACAGCTTAGACTTCTGCATCAGTGATGTTATCAGAGGTTACATTCTTAAGATATCTGGTACTGATTAATATTTACCATGCAAGCATGGGATAGAAGTTAGAGAAAGAAAAGGGAGAAGGGAAAAAGTTTAAAAATAAAACATTTCTAAAAGCTAGTTAATGGACACGGGTTCAGATTTCTGATTGTTTGACTGAAGCTTTATATTCACTTGTTTAGACACTCAAAAAAGATACAGCTTACTCCATCTTATTGGCAATGAGCTAACCCAGTCCTAGGGGAAGGATGATGGTACATAAATGGAATTGAACTGGTAGTTAATATCAAGCATTGGCAACCTTTCTCATTTTGTTGCATCTCAGAAGTTACCTTTTATTCTTTTTTGTAACGGCAAGTCATGTAGCTAATTGGAAGAAAGTGTATCTTAAGTTCAAGGACAGTGGTCTTCTGGACTAAGAATTTATGTTTACTTTCTACTCTCTTAGAGCCAGTCATCTGAACATTAGCGCTTCAGGGACATCATGTGATATGTGAGTCTTAGTAAGGTGTCAGTAAGCATGGGATACTTGCTGTGTTCCAGGGCCCAGGCACAGTCCGTTGAGGAGACAGGGAGGCAGCACTTTCTTTGGGAGAGGTATAGACGGGGTCCTGGGCCTGGGATCAGAGACAGTCTTATAGGGAAGGTGATGCCCAAAGTAAGATTCCAAGGCCCAGTTGAATTAAGCACTAGTAAGTCTGGAAAGACAGGTAGAGTAGGACCAGTGCACTCATAGGCAAGGAGGCAGTGAGAGAAGAATGTGCAGCAGTAGGAGAGCTACAGGTATTTCCTTCTGGCTGGAGGGTCGGGCATTGGCAGGACGGATTGGAAAGAGATGAGGCCCGAGAGGTATACAGGGGCAATCTGGAAGAGCCTCCTTGTACACGGTTCTGGAGAGCTTGGACTTTGTCCTGAAAGCAAAGAAGAGTGTTGGAGGCTGTTTTTTTTTTTTGGAGAGGAGTGAGTTTTGTACTTGTTGTTGTTTAGACTGTGCGTGTGCTTTCTCTAGTTGAGGAGCAGGGACTTCTCTCGCCCTGGAAGCGGGCTCAGTGGCTGCCATGCCCCGGCTTCTCTTGCTGTGGCCTGTGGGCTCAGGTGCCCCGTAGCGTGTGGGAGCTCCGTTCCCTGACCAGGGATCGAACCCACGTCCCCTGCATTGGAAGGTGGCTTCTTCAACACTGGGCCACCAGGAAAGTCCCCATGGTTAAATTTTAATTTAAAAGATGAGAGCTTTGATTTGCTTAGCTTTCTTTAGAGAAGAGACCATTCTCCCTGAAGCAAGGCTGCCTGCCTCACTGTGGGTCTTCAGTGCTGCTGAAATTGCTGTCATCGCAGAGGTTGTACACTGGGTGTGGATGGGGGGCAAATACTGGTTATTTGGGGGCTACCTGGTGCTGATTTCCTTCTGTCTGTCTTACAGTAAAGAAGGCATTTAAGGTTTGT